AGCTATTACCGGAAGTGACGTCTATTGATAGCAACCTATTAAGTAGAAATGCATCCTTTTTCTGGAGCATTCTAACACTTGAAGAGGCATATAATTATAGAAAATGCACTTCAACCTGTGCGTTTATAGTTGTTTTATTTTATTTATTTTTATCGTGACTAGCCATAAGCAGTAGTTGTTTTTCAAACACAGACTCAAGTTTGGCCACAAGCTTTGGAATTTTTATAGGATATATTTAAGATTATTTTTGTTCTGTGACGACTAAGACAAAATTATATTTGGTTCAGTATCGTTGAAAATAGCAACCTTCATCCAGGGTTAGCAACTTTGGGTGATGGTTTGAAGTGGTTTAATATTGAATTCAACAAAATTAAGATTAATTTTAATGATTACCATGRAAATCAGTGGAAAGGCGTTGCTATGCAACTTGCCTTGGCTGTTTTTATCATACACTCATATATTTACCAATTTCTTCATTAATGATTTGAAAGGAAATGTATATTGAGACAGGAAACTCCGTTTCATTGCCTTAATAATATAGAAACTAATTTTAGATTGACTTTTTTAAAAGTGTTTTAAATACTTTTTATGATTTGTACGAATATTAAATATTACTAACTGTGATTGTTCAATGATCAATCAACATTTGCGTGATTACAGCTTCTTAAGATTTACCTCATTTTTTATATATTGTATTTTTCTAAAGCTTTGCTAGATCTAATATTGTCGCTTCTTTTCACATTCTAAATCCCATTCCCAGTGAATTCAATCCTATCTTTTCGGCAAATCCCACTCATGTCCCATTTCAATCCCTTCTAGATCACCCGTCAAGGGCTTACAACGCAATCACCAATCAATGTTTTTTTTTAAAAGGCTTGTCGTCTTCGTTGGCTGATTGTAACGTCTATTCGTACAGCAACATTTGCCTTCTACCAAAAGTCGTGGGTCCTTGTGAGGCATTGATACCACGTTACTACTACAACTCAGAAACTAAACAGTGCGAGAAGTTTTTCTACGGTGGATGCCAAGGAAATGCTAACAACTTTGTAACGCTTGAAGAATGCGAAAAGACTTGCAATTGTGAGTACAAGCAAGCTGAATAAAAGAATATCCGGCAGTTTTACTTGTGAATAGTAACACCAGGGGGTCAAATCAACGCAAGCTAACCGAAAATTGTTCTAAAACCCGTATCAATCCACGAAGAGAAGTAGAATAGCCAGCAAACGCTCAGAATATTTTTTAGTACATATTAWCACATATTAACTGTTTCACTAGGAGCAAATTTAGTTGAATTTTCTATTGGATTTGGCGATTCTATCCCCGACATAAACAAGCAGTGACGTCATAGTGAATTAGGTCAATTGATGTGGTGAAAAATCACGCAACACGACTTGGTCACGGTACGAATATCAATCAATCAAAACGCTTAAAAAAAGCACGTGATGTCTATAACGAAAGATTTCATAGTCATAAAAATAGAAGTGTACTCACTCTTTCTGGTGGACGATAGATCGGACTGTCTCTTTAGCGTGGCGTATTCGTTTCCACTCCTGCATTTATTTATTCATTCCTCCTTCCAATTCATCCCTTCATTCTTGGACTCCCTGTTATTCATTGCCCCTTCATTCATCCATCCACTCATCCTTTCTTTTTAAGGCGGAGTAAATATCTGTGATCTTCCCAAAATCATCGGTCCCTGTAAAGGCTACTTTCCACGCTACCACTACGACTCCAAAACAAGAGCATGTCAACAGTTTATCTACGGCGGGTGTAATGGAAACGCTAATAACTTTCTGTCACGAGACGCTTGCAAAAAAGCATGCCCAAGCTATACAAAAGGTAGGAAACTATATCATTAGACGTTGTTACCTTAGGAACCAATCATTAATTAAGTCGGAGGGGGGGGGGGGGGGGTGGAGTAGAAAATGTTTTTGACGCAAACGTTTCTAGACTCCAACCTAATAGCATTCATGTTTTTCGGGTACCCCCTTCAATCATTTAAAAAATCCTCGTTTTGACCTTTCAAGGCTCTCCATGTTCCACTAAAAAAGATTTGAGGGCCCCCATTTTCTCCTCCACCCCCTCCCCCTCCGACTTAAATAATGACTGTTCCCTTAGGTAGTAATTTTTTTGTCATTTTACAGATTACGTGTCATTCTCTTGAGAAAGGGGTTCTGTGTTTTAGTTGTATCGATATGAATAAGTGAGACTTCAGCAATAGGAAGGCGCGCTTTTCATCAGCACATTTGTCTACACAGGAAATTCTGTTACCTTCCTAAATTTTTATTCATTTTCCCTATTCATTTACTGTAGTAATAATATTGGAATAATAAGATATTTATAAGTATTAATATTTCTTTTGAGAATAAGATTCTTTCTTTGAGTCGTATCCATTTACACTCAATTGAACAATCGTTGTCGGGCTCAGAAACATAGAACATAAAAGCCGAGACCGAAACGGCACATGAAAAATGACATAATTATATTATAATTTATTCATTTGCGCCTTCCATGCAGTCGGTTTAGAATGCCACACACGTATTAAAAACAGTGGATGATGCCACGGGTCGCCGGTCACAGCATGCATCTAATTAACGTACTTCCCATGTGCCATTTCGGTCTCAGCTTCTATGTTCTATGTTTCTGAACCCGGCAACGATTCTTCAATTGAGTGTATTCATGTCTCTTTTCGTATGCAACCATTAAACAAAGAAATGATACTCTAGGGAATGATACGTGGTCTGAAATTGAAATACATTACACTGACCCAATGTAAAGAGGTCTATATTTTATAATCAAAGACTCGTTAATCATTATCTATCTCAAAATACATGGTCGTATCCGAAGTTGGGTTTCCTGTGTGGAACTTGGAACTTAGAGGGTCTGGGACGAGACTGCAAATATACCCTTCTTTGAAATAACTGACCTGTTTTTTCCTTTCAGGATGACAGTCCTTTCAATACTCTGAATTCTGAAGGAAGTTCTACCTCAACTTCTTCAATTTTTTCAAGGCATTAATACTTTTAGCACATTAGTAGCAGCATGTAGTAGAATGTAGTAGATCACATAGTGTTGTAATCAATAAACGTGCCTATCAGATTATATCTTGAAGTATTTACTGAAGCAACAGAGAGACCTGAGGGGGAGGGAGTAGGGGCTCGAGTCGATTAAAAACAACATGTCAAAGAACAACATGAGAAGAGATTTAGTATATAATTCAAATATAATATTTAACGAAAAAGTATTAAGTAAAAACTTTATATTTAAAGCAAGAAAGAGAGGACGTCTCGACGCTGCAATGATGAATAAAAACTAAAAATAGGTTTTATGTGCAATCATTTAAAGCATAGAGAATAAAAAAGTAAAAATTAAAAAATAAATATTAATGTTAAGGTGGCTGGACCCCCTCACGCTTGACCGCTACCTTCCACTTTTGGAAC